ATGCCGCGTTACACCTTACGGCGCACTGCAGGGGACGCTACAAGTCATCCCAGTCAATCCACCGCCGCTAACGTATCACGTGACTGAGCGCCCTGCGCATCGTTGCACACTTCGCGAAGGTCAGGTGTCGCTCAGGCGGCTTTGGGTTGGCTCGGATTGCTCGTAGCGTCCTGGTGCGGTTCATCGTATGAGGTGGAAGGGGATGGTAGACGGGGTAGGAGGAAGATGCCGTTCCGGACTCCGTGCTGTGTGGGGATCTCGTCCCATTTCGACGAGAGAGCGTTAGGAAGGAAGAGAAGAGCACGACTGGTCACGACGGCGAAACGGCGGTGGGCACGGGGAAGGGAAAAAAGAACGTGTCCTGGGAACACCTGCTCGTACCTAACTTTTCTGCCGTCTCACGCGAGAGCATGCTCTCGGAGGAGCTCCGGACACACACACGCACTTTAATGTGACGATTCGAAGCTCGGTGTGTATCGGTTGATTGTTGGAAGCGGTCGTCACCGGCGGCAGACATTCGTCTAGCTAGCAGTCTCTCGTTGGCGCAATCTTCGTGTCACGGAGGAGAGCGAGGGGAGGCAACACGGAGCGTATCGTCTTGACATAGCGTGATCGTGTGTGAGTTCGTGGTCTTTATGGCGGTGCGTACAAAAAACAACACGCGCGCGACGACGACTCGCTTTGTGGTTCGGGAAGTGGGAACAATGCAGGTGCGGTGCGTGCGTTGTGAAAGGAAACGAAAACAGAAAGGAAAGAGGGTTTATAGAAGCGACGGGCTGTGACGACGTCCTTGTTGTCTCGCTGTTGCTGAAACGGCTGAAACGCTCCGACTGACATTTGGACATCTGACGACTGCCGCCGCCATCGCGCTCCTCCTAGCGGCATGACGTCGGATTGCTTCCACGAGGTGTCTAGAGCCGCCGCTACACCGTTATTTGATGCTGGCCGGGTTTGCACGAAGTCGGTAGCGCGGCACGGACCCTCTTCCGAGTGACAAGATAGTGCGACGGAAGAATTGCGTGTCGCGGCGCGACGGTGGGTCGCCCGCCGTGTTTGGAGAAGTGTTTCGGTTTGCTGCGCTTCGCCCGCCACGGACGCAACGCTGGCCCGACGCGCGCCGTCGAATCGCGGCGGCGGCGGCGCGAAACACAAAGCACACGGCATTCCCTTGTCTGCTTCCGGCGTCGGCTGCTCGACGGGCGTCTGCTAGCGACGCGGCCCGTCATCGCTGCCTCCAGCTCGACGCGCGCTAGGGGGAAATAGCACGATGGCGTTCAGCTGGTGTCTGACGCTGCTGCTCCAACGGCGGCAAGATTACATGTCGACGTGATCGGAATCGGCAGCGGTTCTGGAATGAGTCGCTTCTGGTACCCGAGCTACGCGCAGTACCCGTTCCGGCTGTGCCCGCGTAGCGAGATCGGCGTCGACCGGCCCTTCGAGATTCCGCCGCCTGCGGTAGCCAACGGACGGCACTCGCCGCGTCCACAATCACCGGCACGGCCCAAGTCGCCCGGAGCTACCAGCGCGTCTGCTAGAACGGTAGGACGCTACGATTTATTCGGTGATTGGCAGGTGGACAAGCGGTTGAGTTTCTCGCGTCCTCTTTGTTTCTGAGTTGTTTCGTTGTCTCCCGCCGTATGGTTACAGTTACGGTGAAGCATGGGCTGAATGATTGCAGGTTATTCGGTAACGCACGCGCCTTCCGTTCGTGGATGCATGTTCTCCTTGGGATATTGTTGGAAGTTTGATCGTTTGTTGCGCTCACACCTTACGCTGCGCCAAAACTTTTCCTAATTTCTTCTTTTTTTTTTTTTTTTTTAGTTAAGAAGGAGGTGGCAGCCGTAGCCATTCCGAGCCGGCTTTGAAACCAAGTTACCTGGTCTCTAAATTTTATAGTAACCACAAAATTCTGTGCGTTTTTTTTTTTATTTACGTTGCGTGCTTTTGCTTTTACACGCTGATGGGGCTGATGTTTTCCTCCACGGTGGGATATTTTCCTCTGGAATAGAAAAACGACGCTTGCATTGTAACTTCAGCTCAATCAGTCGAGAACTGACTAGAAAAATAAATGCAGTGAAAAAAAAAACGCGCTTTTATTACGAAAATTTTGAGGTTTATTGATACTCCTGCAACGTCTAGATGACAATCGATGATGGAGTTTCGTCAGTACGCGGTCACCGGTATTAATTTTTTCAGGTCTTGCGTTATAAGAAGCGAGTAGGACGAAAGGCACTATTTATCTGAATTATGTAAAGTCTTGCTTTACATGTAGGAGTGTCGCGATGCCAGTTTGCGGGCGCTCTGGTTTCTTCGCTCTAAGGGCAGTTAACGGAGATTCGTGTTGCGACATACTATTCCAGAAGCGGCGATCTGATAAGCATGTCGTCCTAGTTGTTTCGCGCTCCTTTTTTTATTCCATTTTCGCACCGGCGGCGTTTTATTACATAAGTGAGAATGATGTCCCCTGCTTTAGCATATGTGAGGCAGCGAAGTATCGCGTTTCATTTCTGTGACGGTCGCTCGGAGTTCTGCCGTGGATCGTACAGGTTCTCAGCATCCTATTTAGTGCTACAACGTGCAGAACCGTTCTCTTCTGTGCCTTGGCTGAGCCTAAAGGAACTCGTTTCTTACGCGAACATTGCTGGACGAACCTGTGTTGATTGTAAAAACATAAAACCGTGCTAAAATAGACGAAGGACAGGGGTGCGGAGTTCACGAGGCGCCGAGTCTACACTGAGCTCGGTGCCTCGCGTCCTGCGTCTGTTTGAGCGTTGTTTTACCGTTTTAGAATTGTGTACTAACTAGTAACCCAACTAAATGTCTTGCTGCTTTGATTTCTGACGGTCTAAAGTCCCTACCTTGCGTCTTTTTTTCTTTTGTTTCCTCCGTGTAGTAGTGGAAATGTGCACTACAAAAGTGATATCTTTCTCGGTGTAGCGCTACAGCGAACGAGATCTATCGGCAGCACCGTTTTGATGTCGGCCTTAATTGCACGTATCTGGGTCACGTGGGGCGATCCCGTTCGCCGTGATTGCGGCGGATGAGAGGAAGCGCCACGCTCCGACTCTAGAGCGGCGTCCCATCGCCGTGCGCAACGAGCGAAAGTGTAGACGAGTGATCCGGCGGATGCGCAACCCAAATTCACGGCGAGACTGCCGTCGCCGCCAGCCGATGTGGTGGACCGGAATTTCGCGCATTGATCGAAATTAGCCAGTGTCGCGGTTCGGTGAAGCGTGCATGTGGATCAGGGCTGATGCCTCAGGCTCTTGTTGGTGCTTGGTGCGAAAGCTTCGGTTGTCGCGCGCGTGAATATTCAAAAGCGGCGGCGGGGACCGAGGGTTGCCCTTGATGGCAGGAATCCAAGGGATGCGGTTGGGCGTGTCTTGCGCTCGGAGGCAACAGTGACGCGCGTGTTTTACCCTTTTCTATTTTTTTTTTTTTTTCGCGAAGTGAGCAAGAATTTGTGTATCTGAGGTGTTTGGTCGGTGTCTCACGGGTGTCGATTACGCAGGGTTTCATTGTTTTTGTTTGTTTAAACGGGTCAGATTAGGCAGGCCATATCTCTTTCTTATACTTGTACTTGTTATGTTTGGGGTCGCGTGAAAAAGACTAAAAGTATCAAATTTTGAAATTGCTTTCCTTACTCAATAATCCAGGTGATTAGCTTCAAAACATGAAATCTCCGACTTCTGTTTTCAAGTACGCCTGAGAAAAGTACAGTGTTCCTTCTAATATTTTCGGTTGTTTTTCTTGCTCCATTCAGGGTGTTCTTTCTCTCCCTTTCTCCCCTCCCTTTCCCCTTGCACCTTAACGTGAATATACCAGCTTTTCTTAATCAGTTCAAACTTCTCTGGAGTAAACCAGCCTTCTTGTTTTCCTCCTTACAACCCTTTTTTTTTTTTTGAAAATTTTCAGAAAATTGTGTACCCCAACGTTATTAAAAGCATGCCTGTCTGTATGTGTGTGTGTTGCCCTGGATTAGCTTGATTACCTTGTCTGCTCATTAGCAAACAATTCTATACTGACGTTTTTCTCGCATTCTTTCAGTGAGACTAGTGTTAAAGCTTTGCTGCATTACATTACCAAAACTTTGCATTGTTTCTTATGGCATAGAGAAATAAACAAAATTGAAATTAAATTTGTCAAACTTGACATCAACTGAGATACATGTGGCCTGTACTACTCCAGTTTTTGGCAGGTTTGATTGACATATATGTTGTTTTGCTATCTGTGTCCTTTTTTATACATTTAATCAGGTAGCTGTTTGGTTTGCTGTATTTTTGCTGAAGCTGGCTGATTGTCCTAGTCTTGATTTTAAATGAAAGTATGGAATTATAATAGGTGCACAATATTGTGCAAAGCAAAACACAATGAAAAGAACACACAATGGAGTATTCATAAATAAATATTGCTCTTGTGATACTGGATATATACTTAGATTTTGTTTTCTCTTTTGTGGTATTTTATCACAAGGACATAATTGTAGCTTATTATCATTGTATAAAGTCCTAGCATTTCTGCTGCTGCATCCCAACATAATCATTGAATATTGTAAGTTGCTACAAATTCATCATCATTTAACACACCTTGAAGGCACTGACAGACATTATGCAATGAGATGAGAAAAAAAGTGGAGCAGTCCAACAGTGAAACATTGTTACATGAAAACAGTGTATGCAAAAAAACTACGAATCTGTCCTTGTGTTCTAGAATACAGGTGTAAGTAGTCGGTGAGGCGTGCTATAAATATGGTTTTATTTTTTTTGGTTCTCAGTTCTGTTGGGAATGTTATTCCAAACCCCTGTTAATAAGGGCAAGGTGGGGTTGATTTCTAAGGCTTATCATTCAGAATGTATTTTTGTTATGTAAATGATGCCTAGGGCATATATCTTCATGCCTTGTTTCTGAAACCAGGCTGGGCCCACAAGGTGACAATTTCAACGGGTGCCCTATGGATTATTACTGCTGATACTCATTTGGTACACCTTATGTTCATGCAGTATTCTGCAAACCATGGCAGCGCCAACCACCAGCCTCCCCACCGGAGTCCCTCGGGTCATGCGGACGAGCTGGATTCCAAGAGGCCCAAGTTTGTCCCGGTCACCAACATGGAGGACGTCCAGGTGGTCCGGGCAGCGGACTTCCATCCCAGCGGCCAGTTCTATGCCGTGGGCTCCAACTCCAAGACTCTGCGCATCTGTGGTTACCCTACAATCACAGATCTCAGGTCTGCCCTCATTTTGTTTGGTTGGCATGACAATGTGTCAAGTTTTCTAAGGATTTAGGCCCAGGTTTACTCATGCCCAGTGATTTACACAGGCACCCCAACGTTCCCCTAACACTCCCCCCATATTTCATACACAAAGTACTCAAGCCTCCCCCCCCCCCAGAAGTTATTTATACCTAGGGTTCCGCATTTTCGGTTTTTATTTTTTTTTTTTAATTCGGCATACTTTTTTTTGGGTGTTTAATTTAAAATTCATTTTTCGGGGTTTTTTTGTGTATATTTATTCCCAAAAGTTTACCGGTTTTTTTTTTTGGTGAATATGAAAGAAACACCATCGGACAGCGGGTCAGATGATCCTTGTAGCTGTAATATTTGTGATCACTCAAAGAATAACGACACATATACATACGCGGTCTTCGCTACAACTTCCGTCAGGACACACCTCAATCGTGGAATTTGCGGGCGTAATCTTCAGCGCACTTCTTTTTCCTTCCCATCCTGACAACGTGACCGTCTGAGGTGATGACTTTACAGGAACTAACAAAATAGCAAAAGAAAAAAAAAAAAAAATCCATTACATTCATGTTTTCAGTTGCAGGGAAGTTTGAGAGAAGGTGTTACTAAAGGTATTTACGGCTTTCCTCGATGTTCTCCGAAGTGCATTAAGACCAAGAACTTGACACACTAACACTAAGCCCGATCACAGAAAGGACACAGATGTCCCGTGAAGGCCAATCCAAGATCTCTTTTGTTGCATGTTGAACCTTGGGAGAGGGCAATCACGAAAACGTCACACAATGTCGAACCTTGTGAAATCCTCTCTCTCTCTCTCTCCCCCGTCCTCTTCCCCCCCCCCCCCCCCACCTCGACACGGCCCTAAAAAACAGAGGGGGGCCCATGGGCCCCCCCTCTGGCTACGTGCCTGATATAAGTAGCAAATTATGAAATGATTGTGAACATAAATGTGATGAAACAATACTTAATCGAGGAACGCATACTCCAGCTAGCAGGTAGCAGCGGGGGCTTGTGGAAAACAATGTCTGCTACGCACCCGGACGCGATGGACCACTGCGAGCTCTTTTTTGATGTTGTAGACGAGTCATCCTATTCTCCCGCCTGGACCTTTTATACTTGTCATCGTCCACCCCTTTCGATGGAGTGACTGGCGTAACCGTGAGACTCCAATATGGTTAGTTTCTGCCGGGTACTATTTAGCTACTTCAGTGAGAACTTTGCGGAAATATGGAGCTGTTATACAGAAAAAGGTCGCCTACCTTGCAATGGAAACTCATAAACGCAGATGATTTTGGGCCAGTGGGGCCAGACGGGTCGGACATTTTTAAGCAAGACTCATGTAAGTGCCCCCTTAGACTCGGAGGAAAAAAAAATAAAGTGACACAAAAGCAAACGCAAATAATGTTTAGGTTTTAAATGCGATATTTCACGCACAATAATCAAAAACTGTGCACCAAACCGATTTCGGGAAATAATTATTTATCACGTGCTCCTCTCGCAGATTCACAGGAATGCAATTGACATCAACTCGAAAGTGCTTTGTTTATTTATTGTGTGATCCAGAACGCCGTTTTTGCTACAGGTACCTTCAAGTAAGGGACCTAAGCTAAAGGTACCTTCACGCTACCGTTTGAATTGGGTATTACATTTTTTCAGATCCAATAAACTTCTCTCTATGTCAAAAGACAAATGAGCATAGATATAGAAGATTAGAATCTGTATTCTAAGAATCTTTATAGTACATGCCAACATAATCCAGACACTTGTCACAAATCTGTAAGAAGCATACTGCGTGGCCCTTGTGAAAATTCAGAAATTGATCTCGTTTTACAAAGGTAGATGGTTCTGCACAGTCTGCCGCATCTTCACATTTTACACTGGGTTCAGAGTCGAACCTGCGATTTTACTGCCTAAACTTGGTGCCCAATATTGGTAGTGCATTGGTGATGTGATTACTGCACCATTTGCAACAAACTGTGCCAAAGGGGATACCCTGCAATCTGCTGCTTCATTTCACTGAGGTCTGAGCAATTTGCACAAAAATTGTGCCAAAGTGTGATTTCACTTTTTCAGTAGTGAAACTGGGCCCCTATAGAGTAAAATCATCATTCTAATAAACTTGTGTATTTTTTTTAATTTTTTTAGTTATTACTTTGAATGACATACGACATACTACACGGTTTGATCTTCGTATCATACACAGAGAGTACTAGGAAGTTCCATGGTATTTATAATTCATGTCTGTCCTGGCGGGCTAGGTAGCTCCGTTGAGTTTACTTCTCACGGGCAACTGGGGCACTGCAGAGAAGCGACATTTGCGGAGTAGACATCGCGATCCTACCTAATTTGCTTCGCTGCAGCACAGTCTCATGCTTAGCAGAAAAGCACTCTTCCAGAGTGGGATGGTGTACAACAAACATGCATTGTATTGGGAAAAAAAAAAAAGTAGCCAATTTGGTGAGTATTTATTAGACAACTGTACCTTTCAGTGAAATTTCCAGAATTGCACCACAGCAAGTACACTAAGTGTTCAAAATTAAGTTCTACAAATTTAAACAAGAACAATGAGAGGTGCCATATGCACAATTTGTTTTTGTTCCTAGGTTATGCTCCCAGAGAAACATTAAGTGCAAAATAATTATAGCCATCAATTTTTTTAATTTATCAAAGTTTATTAGTAAACTTCAAATACTGGAGTTAGGGTAAGTGTTTATAGTGGAAACTTCGGGGCAGCCATAAAAGACAATCTTATTTTCGGGCTTGTCTGATGAGGCAGAACTTTGCAGACCCCTAGAATGCCTTCGCAGACCCCAAAGGGTCCACGGATCCCCATTTGAGATCCACTGCTGTAGGTTGGCTTCTAAACCATGCCAGTTTGTCATATCCCATGGAATCGTAGCAGATTTTCTGTCTAAGGAATCTATGAGCACGGTGTGACCTGCTGGGACCAACCTGCATGCAGGGAGGGTGACGTGGCGCACCAGCCGGCTGTGTTGTTCAAGCGGCTGAAGCACCACAAGGGCTCCATCTACTGCCTGGCCTGGAACCAGACCGGAGACCTGCTGGCCACGGGCTCCAACGACAAGACCGTCAAGCTCATGCGCTTCAAGTCGGACACCTGCGCCCTTGACAGTCAGCCTGCCTTTTTTGCCTCTTCTCGCCTCTGCAGTTGCACACAGGGGATCACCTCAGTGATGAACTCCATTCTTTTAAAGGGGGACACTAAACTTCCAAGAGTCGTTTATTTTGTTGAGCACTACTTGTGTCACAAAAATTAACTTTCCCAAAGAAAAGACAAATGATAATTGGTCATTTCTGTCATTTCCCAAGGGCATTTTAAATGCATAGTTTTTATGGGGCCTCTTCGTGCCCCTCGTTTTGTAGGCACAGTAACATGGGCGTACCAACCGGGGGGGCAAGGGGGGCACTTGCCCCCCCAGTTCTCAGAGTGGGGGGGCAAGGCATGCGTTTTGCCCCCCCTGAAACGGCCGCCACTGGGCAGAGCAGACACAGGCCGGCGGCGCCCAAGAAATACCAAGGGCACTGCCCCCCGACCCGCGCGGGCATATTTTTAACGCGCAGGCTATACAAACCCTAGCAACGGTGCTCACGCACGCCGGATTGGCTGGTTCGTAAAGCCTTGCTCCACAAACAAGGCTACACGGTAACCTTACGGAATCCATCCGCGAGACATGGGCCGGACGGGCCGTCCAGACCAGGACGTAGGCCCTTACACAAAATAAAGTTTTGCTTGCTTGCTTGGAGATAGGCGCTGCCGCCGTCATCATAGGCAGCGGATGCAATGCGAGTTTCCGAAGAGGTAGCGTAACTTAGTGGTGAGATGTCTGCCTCATACGTGTCAGACCCGGGTTCTATTTATGGTGTGAGCCGGCTTACTTCTTTTTATTTTTTTTCTCGAACATTTTGTTTTGTCGAGGCATTTGACGATATTTACATTTCTTTTTTACCATTAACACTAAAAAAACGAATGTTGTTGACGAAACATCGCTAAACTAAATCGTATCGACTCTTTTTACGGAAGTGCATGGGGGGCAGCGGGGCTTGGGTTGCCGACCGGACGCCGCAAAGCGGCGTGTTCGGGGGTTAGGGGGGCTAGGTGGGTTAATAGATTTGTAATTAGCAGCCGCACACCGTCACCGCGAAGCGGCATGAACGCAGGCGCGGGGGTGGGTTAACGCGCTTCGAGTGATACACGAGCAGCCCATCCGGCATGAGCGTCGTTGTTAGGGGTTCTATCGCTTGCACCGTAAAAGGAGCAGTGTGTGCACCTCCTGTAGTGGGCAAGAATTCCTACATTGGAGAGAAGCGGGGACAAGCCCTTTCTTCAAATGCGTCAAGTCTCCTTGAGCTTCGGAATACAAAGAAACGCCACTATTCGGAGCTAATCCCACAGTTACTCGACCTCTCTTGCGTCATGTCTGTTCTCTCCCCGCGCCTCGTAGCAGTGTTGTTGCAGTGGGGGGGCTCGTTAAAATTTTGGGGTTTTTTGGACTATCTAAATCACTTTCTTCCTTCCCATCCCCCCCTTTTCTACTACGCATGCTTCCCCCTCTGCAAATATCAGCTGACCTTCCGACCTCTGTTCTCTGTTGATAGGCAAAACAACCACTAAAATTAGAAAGTAATTTGTAATTTGAGTGGAAGTCACTCGGAAAAGTAGTTAAAGTAAACTACTGATTACTAGAATAGAAATGTAATTAAAAGTTACTAAACTACCCAGAAAAGTAGTTAAACTACAGTAACTTGAGTAAAGTAGTTGAACTACGTACAAGTCTGGCCTGGCAAGCGCTCTGCGTAAGTGTTTTCACTGATCTGCCTAGCCCCGCACACCATCACATGGGCCAAGAAAGGTGTAGTTTTACTGCAGAGGAGAAATCAGCAGGGTCCAAGATGGTGACAATGGAGGATGGGGGACTGTTCCAGTGGCTGATGGCTTGAGAAAGGAATGACCAATTGAATGCGTTCGTAGAGCCAGAAGTGTGTTTGATGGTGCAGACGTTGTTGAGGCGAGAAGATGTTCGGTCGAAAGGTAATAACAAAGTGGTTTTGAGGTCGGGAATGTGGTAGTAGATTTTGTGAATAAGGCACAGCTGAGAGACTTTCCTGCGAAGCTGCAAAGAGGACATGGTTAGTTCAGTTTTTAGCGCCGAGACACTGAAAGAAAAGTCATAAGTGGATGAAATGAAGCGAGCAGCTCTGTTCTGAACTGCCTCTACAGCGTATTGATCAGGTACAGTCGATGGGTATTCCAGATGGTTGAAGCATATTCTATTTTTGGTCTGACGTACGTGTTAAAGGTTTGCTTAGGGACAAAGGGTGGAGCGATTTTTTAAGTTACGTCTGCTTAGTCCAAGAGTTCCAGATGAATCGGCGGTAATGACTTCAATGTGGTTATTCCAGGGAAGGTCAGATGTTAGTCTTACACCAAGGTATTTATACACAGTAGCGGTCTCAATCAGATCGGAGTCCAAGAAGTAATTAAATGACAGAGTGTTTTTTTTCTCTGTGAAGTGGATTAGTTTGCGTTTATACTTGTTTGGTGACATAATCCACTCTTTGCACCAATTGTTAATTTTATCTAGATCTTCCTGAAGCTGGTTATTATTTTGCACACAAGTTACTTTGTTATGGATGACGCAGTCGTCGGCAAAAAAGCGTTTTTTTGAAGAAATCCCAATGGGAATGTCATTAATAAATATTAAAAAGAGTAAGGGCCCAAGTACGAACCCCAGGGGAACACCAGGAGATACATTTATTAAGGAAGATTCATGATCATCATGGACGTGACCTGTACACGGGAAAAAAGAAAGTCACGAATCCATGCAAACGGTTATTGGTCGAGGCAAAAAGATGATAGCTTAGAAAGAAGGCGTTGATGAAAGACACGGTCGAACGCTTTGGAAAAAAAAAAAAAAAACTGCGTCAGTTTGGACGTGACATTCAAGGTTAGTGTGCAAGTCATGGATGAAGTCGCAGAGTTGCGTTTCGCAGGAAAGTACCTTTTGAAAACCATGCTGCTGTTTAAAGAAAAGAAATGGGATGATAGGTGCCTCATGATATTGGAGTAGAGGATATGCTCAAGTAGTTTGCAAGAAATTGAAGTCAATGAATTAGGGTGATAATTAGATGCGGAAGAGCGGCTGCCCTGTTTAAAGACTGGGAATTACCCTTCCCACCTTTTGGTCAGATGGAAGGCAGCTTTGAGATGAGGACTGAATGAAGATGAGTTTCAAATACTCACTAGAAATAACACGGGTGTTTCTTTTAAATTTTAGGGTTGATGTTATCGGTTCCAGCGGACGAAGTAAGTTTTAGTTTATCAATCAATGTTTTAATACCAGCGGAGTTAACGTTAATAGGATGCATGCGCTCGTAAAGCTCTTCAGGGAGAGTGGGGACGAAATCCAAGCACTCGTTAGTAAACACTGATGAAAAGTATTCGTTAAACACAGAACTATCATGCTCGACGTTGCACATCCGACATTCCTAACTCTCCCCCTCTTCCTAAACGTCCGTGTGTGTCCTAACACCAGAAACCGGAATTTTAAAGGTTAAAAACGGCACGTTGCGAATATGGAACGCGCACTTTATGCAAAGCTGACGTCAAGTGACTCAAATCGAAAAACATGCATATTTACAGCATTGTTATCTCTTCTGGTGAAGGCTAAACAACCGTTGCATCCGTTTTCGCGCACGAAACGGTGCCTCCCAGAGAAAGTAAGAACGCAGTGATTGTCTTTATTTTAACAATGTAAACACACTTGCAGGCGTGCGCTGATGAAGCCTCAAAATCAAAACTCTCGTAGTGTGATTCGTGACTGCTCCGGCTACTACCCAACCTCGTTGTCACGCCACTTTCTGCAAGCAAACACTAAAATTGCCAGTAAACACACAAAAGCGACATCGATACAATTATCTTGTAGAATATCACCTTATTTAGTCATAACTGTTTCAATAGGCACTACAAGTTGTATTTATTTTAAGAAGAAGAAGCAAAATTTTTTTCGTGAGAAAAAACAAAATATCAATGTTAAGTCTGGTAACGTTGTAAATTTGCCGAATCATTGCCACATCTTTAGAAAACTTTGACAAAAGTTGCGCCGAATTTTCGATTAAGGGGGGGGGGGGGGGGGGGGGAAGAGGGTCGGGTTTGCCCCCCCACTCAAAAACAAGTTGGTACGCCACTGCACAGTAAGAAGACCACTGAAGGGCAGATTGGAAGGTTTTTTTATATACTGGCTGTTTCAGCATAGGTTTTAAAAAATAAGGTAATTGAGAAAAGGGAAAGAAAAAAAAAAAAAAAACTCTTTTCGGGGACAAAACTGCCAGCCACGGCAGACATCAGGGATACCAAAAAAGCTTACTAATTATCCACATAATTTACATAACTTTACTAAATTTTTTATTTAGTGAAGATAAGCATTGGATTCCAATTAGAAACCTGCTGAGCACCATCAAAAACCAGTAAATAAACTAATCTTAAGAGGACATAAGGCAAGGGCAGCATTTTACAGCGTTCTGGAAAAACCCTCAATTCAAACAGATTTCTAAGTTTCGGTTTCCTATTGGAGTGCATCTTTGCGCCAGTGGTCAAGGCGCGAAGCTATTGCCTTGCCTTCCTCGCAGGATGGAAGGAAGTATGGCACACGTGCATTGCACGCCTCAGCCAACAGGGGACAGAATCGCTGGCACAAAGACGCGCTTTGTTAGGAAATCAAAAATTCTATAAACGCATCCGAATCGAGCATTTCTTCGGAATGCCGTAGAATAGTAGAATACTGCACCTGCCTTATATCTTTCTAAAATGAATCGATGCGGTGATTTTCAATGATCCTCAGCAGGTTTCTAACTGGAACCATATGTTTATCTTCACTCATTAAAATGTTGATTAATAAATATTCCCTGACATCCACCGTGGCTGGCAATTTGTTCCCAAGACAAGATTTTTTTGTTTTTCTTTTGTTTCTGAACTGTCATATTTTTATGGATTTTTGAGTCTTGACTGATACTCCCAGAATAAAGCAGTCACGGGGTTGCATAACACTGTGAGGTCATGTGACGTTGTGGTATCATGTGATGTCACAAGCCACTGTGACGTCATCAAGGCTGCATCCCAGTGGGGACACAGAAGCCCTACTTGCCCTTTAAATGCTGTGCATCTAAAAAATCTTTTTACCACAATATTCACGTCACGAGACTTGTTTTGGGTTAAAGGCAATTCCGAAACATGCTTAGTATATTTCGAGATGTCGACCCCAAAATAGAAACATGGTTTTGAATCGCTCAAGTGAGTTTCACAATGTAAATATTATGCCAATTTCTTTTTTTTTTTAGAGCGCAGCTCTTAGGTGCCCGTTTCCAGCTGGAACGGCGTCAGCGTAACCGCGCAGTGCATTATGGGAAATGTCCCATAATGCACCGCGCGAACCCCTTCCGGGGTTCCGTGACCTGGGGGGGGGCACGTGACTTTCCTCCCCTTCCAGAGGTCACGTGACCCTCCGAAGTCACATGACTCCCCTGGGGTCACCTGACCCCCCCCCCCCCCCCCCCCGATGACGTCACCGGCATCCGCATCGTCATCGTCATCATCACTGATGACGTCATCAGTGACGTCACTAATGACGGCAGCGGTATCCGCATCGTCATCGTCACTGATGACATCATCTGCATTGTCATTGTCACGTGACACCCCCCCCCCCAGTCAGTTGACCCCCCCCCCCCCCCCCCCGCAGTACCCTTCCCTCCTCCTCCTCAAGAGCTGCGCTTTAATTCGGAGTTACAGGGAGTTGCAAACGGCTTTCACTTTTTTTTTTAATTTTCACAACAATAACAGAAAGGCCTTGTGCACTCATCCTATTTATCACATCAGATTTACAATGACCTTTCTACTATCTTCGCATTATGCATGAGTTGGCGGTAGGATAAATGTTAAACTCGCGAATGAGTGGCAATGCAGCAACAAACTTCGTTCGGCAGCACGTTCAGCCACTATCTTGACACCAGGCACAGAGAAAATGCCACCGGGCTAAATTCGTCGCTTTTTTCTCTCCATGGAATCCAGCCACGAGAGTTGCATTTAGTATATAAACCGTGGAATTACTCGCAGCAACTTCGTCGGACATATTTAAACGTGACTTATGTACCTGAAAATGTGTCGTAAGCCGTCAATCTTCCGAAACTCGTGTCATACATCGAGCAAACTGATTGTCTTTCTTTTCTTTCAATGTCTGCTAGCGATTAATAATGAGACATTTGTTCTTTCTCTTTTCTTTTTTTTCACGCACAGCCGGGGGTGAGGCGGAACTTACGATGCATGATGGCACCATCCGGGACCTGTGTTTTGTGGAAGACCTGAGCAACCATTCCAGCCTCCTGATAAGTGGTGGCGCAGGAGACTGCAAGATCTATGTGACCGACTGCGAGACAGCCACACCGTTCCAGGCGCTGTCCGGTCACTCTGGTAGGAAGTTAATTCTGCTGCTTAGAGGGGAGCTTTCTATATCGAGGGTTGGGTCCGAAACAACTCTGTCAGCTGCCTGGATGTTGGCTAAGTGATGCAAGCCGCCTCCCAGTTGCCACTACCACCCGTCGCCCTACATCTTCCGGCTTTATGGCCTACCCACAAATCCCCATTCTTACGGGTTGGGATCCCGGCCAAGGGGCCTGCAATCTTTACAGCCTTTTTGCAGAAGCGCTGCAGTGTAACCGAGATTTCTTTTGCTCATTAAGTACCTTCATATTCCATCTCGTAAACATCTGCGGTGCTGACAAAGGTGGCAGGCACTAGGGCACATATTTGAAAAGTGCCTTCTGTGCCCGAGTTCTCGTACAAAAAAAAAAGCGTTCAGCTGAGCTAGGCTCGTGTGCCTGTGCCTTTGTCTGCACTGTAGACATTTGTGGGGTGGATTAAGTCATCTAAATTGATCCTCAGTTCTTTCTTGGCACGTGCCAGGTCGTTTTCGTTAATGTGGCGTATAAACCCCGAAAAAACTTTAAACCACACTTACAACGTTTTTGTCATTGCATCCGAGCATGTAATGCAAAATTCTGGTAGAATAGGAAGAATATTAGTTTTCCATGTTAGAAAAATCGCAGATGTGCGCACAAGCTTGCGTGAAAAAAATGGAGCAGATGATATTGCTAAAGAAAAGAATGAATCACTAAAGTCTATAATTTTGTCCCCTGCAGAGTTAGACAGACTCCTCCTACCGTCGTCAACGGACCATTTGCATCGAAATGTGAACCTGTCCCGAGCTTCACGCATAAACTAGAGAACTTTTACGGCGATAACTTTTACGGGCTCTTCCCACCACTGGAAATGACGTCCGTTGTTGGTGTTATAGCAGTTGTAGTTGATGTTGTTGGGCGTCTGTCATTGATGTTGCCGAATCGTCGGAAAAGATTGCCCTTTGCCTGTGGGAATCGAACCTGGGTGTGCTGCTTGCGAAGTGGAGGCGTCACTGCTGAGCTACACCACAGCATTAATAACCCGCCCCTATACTTCGGGTTTTTGTAGTACGCAATGCCCACTGCATGCGCTGTCTGAAAAATATTTAGCAGTCTTGCATCAATCTACAATGCAGTTGCAGCAAGGGCTGCGACACACGTTTAGGCGAAGTCGTTGGAAATCGGCGTTGCGTTCACGCACTGTGGAAAAGTGCATAAACAAAAATGTTTTTCAGCATTTTTGAATGCATTTCAAAAATGCTGAAAATCAATCTAAGTATAGACTGATTTATCAGCATGCAAGTCCGTGCATGCTGATAAATCAGTCTATACTTAGATTAACTGCAGTTTGCTAATGAACCAGCCACGTGTCTGAATCGCAATCATGCTTTTTCATGTACGCCGTATACGTAGTATCTGGAAATAGTTCCTCGAGCTATTTGGGCTCACAGATATGTTTGTACAAATCAAGACTTCATTTGGATTTTTCTGAAACATCACTGAGCAAGTTGGAAGCGCAGTGGTCTGCTTAGAGCTCCTTGAAGAGCAACTCCACCCAATAGCAGGATAATGAGTGATTTTGCATGAAAAAGCTTTAGGTAGTAAAAGTAAAGTGACCATATTCCTCAGGCCCCAAAGCGGGACGCGTATCGGGAAAAGGGGGGGCGGGTATTGTGTTGTGAGATTTGGAAAGTTTAAATTTCGGTAACAAATCATACCTTTTCTTTATTTCGTATACCCCGTGTGCATTTTTTTTTTCTTGCAATTTGCGTACTGTGTGGCTTGCAGCCATCTAATACATTTGGTTGGAATATGCCTTTAATATTAATGTATTGATTCTTGTGTTCTATGGTCCATAGCACTGTTCACATGTCATACGCCAATTGACCTTCAGCATCTTCTCTGTCGAGCATATCTTGTTCCTTGATCAGAGGAGGCACCCTCTCGCCGGTGCGATCTTTTCGTTTAACCGAATCTTCCATCTATCCGCTGTTCGAGGAGCAAAAGCGGGACAAAACGGCGTCCCACAAGCACGCTGGCGGGACAGCGGGACCACGGCCGGAAAAGCGGGACCTGTCCCGCCTAAATCAGGATGTCTGGTCACTTTAAGTAAAAGACACTATGTCATTTGCTTCGCGAAAAATGGGATATATATTGTTATGTCTAATTTTAAACACAAGCATAAATCGAAACGGAAACTCCGGCTCCGTCCGGCGACATTGGCCTTGGGCCGCCGAGAATTTGGCTATCACGTGGTACAAGAGGTCACATGATCCTATATGCAACAATCGGTGCAATTGGGGTGGGCAAGTGCCAGGCTCATGTGTCATCTGCACCGCACTCTTCGCCACATTTCGGTGTCTACGACGTTCATTGACATCCGTACAACTGTGTCATAAGCCTGTGCACATAGGTTCTGTACTGTGAACGAAACTCCGAGAGACAATAATCACAAACGGTGAGACGACAAAGGCAGTTGCGAGACAGGAGACGGCAATAATGGCAGGACCACTGTGGAATGGCTAGAATGCTCCCAAGAAGCGCACCGTGCAGGCGTGTTACACCAATCACGTGGACACCGCTGAGCGCCGAGAGGAAACATTGCTGACGTCACCCGTTACGCCTGCCCAGAGAACTGAAAACAAGCAAAAAGGGGCAATGGTGATGACGTTTAGCTCAATGTTAGCAACGCCCACGCCGTAGCCTTGACTGCACTGTTGGTTGCGTCTCAATTTGCCTGCTCGAGTCAGCCGATTTCGGCAACTTGCCGATTTGCAAAGTTTTCCGGTCCGTCTAAGAAATATTTAGACAGAACTACGTCGTAATCATTGACATGTGGTCTTTCTAGGTGATATTGAAGAGGACTGCATTGTTTTTTTTTCAAAAACAAAAATGAAGTGGAGTTGCCCTTTAAAGGAGCTGTGCAACAATTTCAGTGCTTTGCTTAAGTAATTGTGAAAGGTTGTGTCTTGACCCTTCTGAAGTAAATAACAAAAAACTGCTTGTCCCTGCATGTCCTAGTTTTTATTTTAAAAAAATCACGAAGATTGAGGTTTTCAGCATTTCTCAACTCCTTCCCCATTTTCCGAGTCGCGTGCGCTGTGACGTGAAAGGGGGACGCGCAGGATTCCGGTGAAGCTCTCTCTCTAGTGCCATCAGTGAGCAGCGAAAACTTACCCGCTCGCAACCACTTGACCATGTGCTTGTGCCACGTGATCAACATGGCTAAAGGAGGAAACTGCCAGCGTGCTCATCTGGGTCCGGCCGTTTCTGTCTGGCTTTTGCTGGCTCCTCATGGTAGCAGATAGGGCTAACGGTTTTGTTGACCTCGGATAGATGGCGCCACTAAAGCTCTGTATAACATTTCCGCGTGGTGAATGATGTTGATTGGGGCGAAGCTCTGGTGGTGCTTGTCTGCGTAGACACTGAGCCGCAGCGTGCCGAGCCTTTCGTTCGTTTTCATTCATGTCAGAAAGAGAATGTGTGGTATGGAACGTGGTTATATATGCATTTGAGCATTTGACTGCAGGGCCCTCTCGTCTATAAACGTTGAGCCAATGCATGCAAAGTTTAACGCGATTATATATGCATTTGACCGCAGCGCCCTCTCCTGTATAGACGTTGAGCAACTACATGCAACGTTTCATCCATGACATCCCCAGCTCTTGAATTACTACCATATCTCGGAGCCCTCTACTCGTCCCGCAGTCGTGGCCGAGTGGTTAAGGCGATGGACTAGAAATCCATTGGGGTCTCCCTGCACAGGTTCGAATCCTGTCGACTGCGCAAAAATTTTTTTTCTTTCCATCCTTTTTTTTTTTTTCCCCTACACGAGCACGTGAGCTCACAAGCACGAGCACGACCACCAGCAAGATCGATGTGAGCACAGACGCCGGACGGACAAGGCTAGACCCTAAGGAGCTTCGCCCCAAAAAGTTTTGTCGATTATACCAGGTTTTTGATGCACTCAATTGTGTTGGAATGACGATTTATAGAAAATGACCTTTTATCGAGCAGGTAGTTGCACAACTTGCTATTTTTTACAAGTCCCCCTTTGACGTCGCACCGCGTGGTTCTCGTGGCTGCAGATCGAGAAATATTAAACTTTTTTCCTCGCGATGACGTGGCAGAATTGCAACATTTCGAAGGAATGAGATGTCTTATTTGTTTTTTGTGACAAGATCAACAATGTCAAAAGTAGAAGATGCAAATTCTTTCAACGTTAAAATTGTTGCATAACTCCTTTAAAGCAACGTCAAAAGTCCCAGGTTATGATGTCGGCAATTTACTCCTTGTTTCATGCTTTTCTTTCTGCTCTGCAGGCCACATCCTGACCCTGTACACCTGGGGTGGGGCCATGTTTGTCAGCGGGTCCCAGGACCGTACCATCCGCTTCTGGGACCTGCGCACCCGCGGTTGCGTCAACCTCGTCACGGCGCCGCCCGCATCCGGCAGCGGCCCAGGTCAGTTTTTTCTCCATTGTTCTCCCGACCGGCCCGGCCCTCGTCTTTTCGATATATTCCATATATTTACTCGACTAATAGCTGCACTACCCTTGCATCTACTTTCCTGCACAGCATACATACAGCCAGTCATTGTGTTCTGCATAAGAAAGATAGCGAATAACGAGGTCGCAAACACGATTCTCCGTAAAAATGCAATCTGCACAGATAGCATTTTCGCGTGAAAACGTTGTATCGGTTCCGTAAATCGCCGGCATCCTGACGTCGATCGCGATGATTGACCATCCGCGTGCTCCGCGGGAAAGCGGTGGTTCGAATCGAATAGCGCTGCATCATTCATAGCTTGGATAATGCGAGGGTAGGCCAAGATGGTCGCTTCTTTCAACAATGCAGAAGCTAGGGATGACGCTAAGCTATTGGAGTCAAACCACTATTAACACAGCCCTAAGTGTGTCTATAACTCGAGTAAAATAGTACCGAGAGACCCCCAAAAATAACCTCCGAGTCGCTCTTACCGAAATCGGGGAAAACTAAAAAACCTCTAATCGAAGCTGCCCTGGAGTAGGAGAAACACGAATTTCATAATAAATCTTTATTTATAGCTTAATTTTGTGTTCATCTTTAATATGACCCCCACTGAACGGTTCACCAGGCTGCTGCTTTCTTAGAGAACCACTCTCTTCATCCCTTTTCCTTCACTTGTCGGTACCTGGTTGTTGTCTAAGCGTTCAGATCATGCAAGTGCTCCCCAGAGGCTGGAAACATCCATGCGCATGTCCTGTTTTTTTGTTTTATGTAAGCCCCTCGAAACACTTTTTTTTTTTGTCCAGCACCGAAAATTGACACCTAAAAACTATGAATCTGTGGGAAAAATAGAGCCTAAATACCCTTGAATTCAGACAAAAACGAACCTCATAAACATGGAGTGGAACCCTACTTATAGGTGGGGTTTAGTTTTTCTAGAGTTCGTAAAGGTTTTTGTTTTTCTGTTCGTTTTTATTTTTGGGGGGGGGGGGAAGGGGGGGGGGGTATTCTTTTTCTTACAGTTTCAATGTCTATTTAGGGTGTCGGACAAAACGTGAAGCAAACAGGATAGGGCATGGGGCTCCCCAACCTCTGGAGAACATGCACGTGATCCAAATACTTGGAAAGGTGCAGGCTGTGTACCGGGTCAGTACGAAATGAGTCTGTTAATGAAGATTCCTTTCCGTGAAACTTGACTCTTCCTTGTTCGACGGCAGTTCCAGTTCGGAGTTTTGAGTTTTTCGGGGTTTTTTTTGCAAATTTTGATGAAACCAGCTCGGGTGTTACTTTTGTGGTTAATCAATGTTTGCCGAAAACACGGTAGTCTACTTATAGCTCCTTGGCAATATTTATTTCCTGCTACATTAGTGATGAGGAACTGCGCATATAGACAATGGCATTGTTCAGGCTGCCACTGCTCTAAACAGTCGTCTTTTTCCTAATTTATATATAAATTTGGAATCGCGTATGGGACAAACAAGCCAGTATACTTTCGTGGAATGTTATCACAAAAGCATTAACCTCGTCTTAAAAATTTGTTTCACCTTGTTCACGGATATCTTTTCACCTTGATAGGGTTTTGCTGGCCCATACTTTAGTACTTTCTTTCTGTCATCCTACTTGGCAGCACAATGGAGAAAAAAAACTTCAAACAAGGAGAGCATGAATTTCATTGCTTGTTTTTCTGTCACAAAAGTTTTCATATCCAGTGACGCGACAACAATATAAATATGGCATTAATATTTAGACCTGCGCAGCTGATGCTATAACAAAAGGTTTACTACTAGTACTACCTTTATTTCTAGTAAACTTGGACATATATTTCTTAAAATAGCGTCAGCTCGCACAATTTGCGATAACCACGGCAATTTTTCAAGTGGCACTGGTCTTCAGACGAGGGCTTTTCTTGTCATTTTATTTTACATAACTTCAAAGTAGTAACAAGAGTCGAGGCTGGTTTGCACTTTTGCAACCTACTACGACCATTTCCGACATGACTGGTTCTTACGCTGCTTACGACAGTCGCAAGCAGTCGTAAGTGGCTTAAAAACTGGTTGCATTTGAGCTAGTCGTAGTCAGTTGCAGATATGTGAACCAGCCTTAATACTTCAAAATAATTTTAAGTCCTGTTTCCGTCCTCGTCCTCAACGTTTTATTCTTTCAAGTATTCCTAGCTCACTCTTACGGAGCTGGCGACCGACCATGCCTAGAAAAAGGATTTCTATTAATTCCAGCTCATACCTTGCCTAACATTAATGTGTTGTATATTAGATAAAACCCTCATTTTCCCTTACCCCGTGTTTTGCTTTCAGTGAGACCGAACCTAGCTTTTTAAAATCGTAAGGACTTTTTCAAGTCTTAATCCCTTGCAAACACTCCCCAGATTTATTCAAGCAGCACAACTGACAGTTGGTTCATTGAGACAACCACTGCGTCGTTCATTAATACTAATATTCACCGACAGCTTAAAAAAATGCCGGACGTGGCATGTCAAAAGCATTTCATTATCACTTTGCAGCCAACAAGATTGTGGCCTTAGCCAATAACAACGCCAAAGAATAAATCGCAAAGCAAGAAGTGTGAACTTTGATAAGCCACGCTCTCCATTTCTTAAGCTGTCGGGAGTCACATAAAAAAGATTGAACGAATCAAACCGTCTTTTAACGACGGCGGCGGTTCAGGGAGCCCGGTGGCCGCGGTGGCGGTGGACCCGTCGGGGCGCATGCTGGTCTCCGGCCACGAGGATGCCACGTGCATGCTGTACGACATCCGCGGGGGCCGCAACATCCAGTGCTTCCGGCCGCACGCCTCGGACATTCGCTCGGTGCGCTTCTCGCCCCGGGCCTACTACCTGCTCACGGGCTCATACGACCGCAAGTGCATCCTCACCGATCTCCAGGGTAAGCCACCCCTCTTTCCACCCGCTCTCTCGCAGTTCGAACCGCACCTTCGTCTTAAAACATGCCGCTGACAAGTACCCGAGGACGGTTTTTGTATGTGACGCGGCGGTTTAGAGGAGAAAGCAGTGTGGAGCACAAGTTCGTCTGCTTCTTTTGCAGGAATTGTGGTAACGTAAGAACTCCGAGCTCTGGTTGGCCCTGATTGAATGGGTAGACCTCAAGGCAGCTTGCTTTGAGGTGTACTTACTATCCTTCAATCAGAGCCATTCGGAGCTCGGCGTTCTGATGTCACCATAACCCCTGCAAGAAAAGCGGACGAACTTGCACTCCGCATATTGTTTCTCGGTCTGCTGCTGAATGTGGTTGAATACGACGGCGTTTGGGATCCTTTGCACCTCTTTGGATGTCAATCAAGCTCAGCGCTCGTCAAACTGCCTTGGCACGGCGGCGTTTTCGAGCCAGTTCTTCCCAAATTGAATTTGCATGTAATTATAAACCAGTTTGGGTATTCCTGTCGTTTTTAGTGGTGAAGCGCTCTTCGCGAAATTTGGTGGAAACTTAATTAGGGTTTCATTTTTCGCCTATTCGAGATTTTTTTGCTATATTTAGTTTGAAAAGGCTTTCCTCTAAATTTAGAGAGGAAATCGAATTGATGTAAAAGTTATATGGCAACTGTGGTTTTCTGGCTAAATTTAGTTATCTAACCTCGACAGACAGATATACACTACCTCGTGGTTTGGTTTGGTGGCCCTAGAAATGCTATCACATCTAAAACAATTGTAATAGAAGACTGAAACGAGACGAAAAATTATGTTGTGACGACGCTGGTTGGGTCGTCGAGATTTCAATTGTACTTCATTAAAGCATGGGGATGCTCGTTCCATCTTCATGCCCAATCGTTTTCTTTTTTTCCCGATTGCACACCTTCGTCACTGATGCCTAGTTTTAAGTGACACGTAATCTATGAAAATGCCAAAATCTGAGGTCCTAGAGCTGTTTACAGACAACTTTCTTAATGAAGCCAGTTTCCCAAGAAAATGAAAGAACCTTTAGTGCATCTGTACTTATAACGTATCAATAGCTCGAATGTCCATACCAACATCGTGAGCTTACGACGGCCTTTCTTTACTGTAAGGAAGAATGTTGGTAGCCTTGTAATGCTGTATAGTAGGCACTTGAAATACCTGTGAGCTAAGGATTTATATCACATTGTAGATATTCAAGAATTCTTTACTATAGAATGGTTCTTTTTATAGAATATTCTTTACTAAAATAAATTTACAGGCTGTCTCCCCAACAACTGAGGATACTTCTTAAATAAGTACTGGAAATAAAGAAATGATTCCTTGTTTAAAGTATTATCAACCGTGGCGGTCGTCAGTGAGAGATTTAAAGTGGTAATTAGCAAAATAATTGTGTAAAATGGACTAATTAAGTATGCTTGGGAGAAGAGCGTGTTGGTTTAAGTCATGGATGAAGAAAGAATAAAACAATTAAAACAGGGACAACACAACCACATCTTTCAACTAGCGACAGACGAGTAAACTTTCAAACAGCGAGCAGCCGACTATACCCAGTAGGAGTAGGGGGGAGAAGGGGGAGAGAAGGAAAGAAAAGAAACGCAAAGTGCAAGTCAGGGTGGAAGGGTTATCTCGGATTTTAAAAATTCAACCTCAGTTTTCGTCAGCAGGAGGGAAGGGTTAGACACGTTGTTTTTTGCTGTGGTCATCGCGAATGATTCTATGATTTCCCTGCCGAATCTGCTGTCATGCCCCCCCAGGATTTTTGTGCCATCAAAGAGGGGATGACAACGCAAACACGAACGCTGTTTGAAAGTTTACTCGTCTGTCGCTAGTTGAAAGATGTGGTTGTGTTGTCCCTGTTTTAATTGTTTTATTCTTTCTTCATCCAGGACTAATTAACTTTTGAAGTAGTATTTGCCTTAACTGGCACATTTCAATTGGAATATCGTTGAAATATGCTGAGGCTACTGTTAAAATTCAGACGATTAAATACTGCTCCATGCTATTCTCTGGTCAAGGAAGGCTCTCTAGTGTCGGCCATATCAAAACTAAGGGAAAAAAAAGCCGAAAAATGTGTGCTCAAGGGGACAGCGAAGTGTGTGGCGCTTTTTTTCTACCACCACGTGATTCTTAATGGGGCACTGACACCCCAAAGGTTGTATATGATTTTATTGTCCAAAACAATGCAAATTAAAAGTCATAAACACGCAAAAAAATACCAGAAGGCAAAAAAAAAAAAATTTCCCACGCACTTGCGTGCCTTTTTTTGGGGAGGTTGTTCTTCTCTCTCACTTCTCACCTCCTCACTTCTTTTTATTTGTGACATAATCGATTATGAAATTTAGAAGCTTTGTAAGTGACATTTTTATAATATTTAATGACGGCATTTGTAAAACATATTTTTTTTAAAGCGATTGCAAATGCACTACAACCCTTCTTTTTGAAATACTGAAAATTGGAGTCTGGAATGATGTCATCTCCTGGCTTTTTATCCTCCCTCGGAAAACGTGGCGGCTCTCGATGCATGTAGCACTGAAGATGGTCGGGAAAATCAGACGAAGTTCTCGTTTTTAGGTGCCTGACAACCTCTCGGACTTCGAAAAGGAAATCGCCAAACGGTCAGATCAACTGGGTTGGGTGTCTGTGTACAGTAGTTTCACTTGGAACTCCACTGAAGCAGCCTTTCACGCAGAACCGGTGCAACTTGACTCCTTACGTCGCTCACAAAAATCCACTGCGCATCCTCTTCGCTCTCGTACCATTTCAAAGAATTTGAGATTGTTGAAAGAGCCCTAAAAGAACTTCAAACTCGAAAGTGGAGCGTCGTCTGCTCACAGTGATAGGTGTCACGCAGGGAGCAGTTGATTGCGGGACGCGACCGAACACGACACGGAGGTGTGAGAGAAACTAGAGTTGCAGGACGACTCAATCTTTGACGTTAATGCACTGGTGCAGGTTGCGCAGGAACTTCAAGTTCGGCTTCTGGAAATTGTTTTTTTTTTCCTTCAGAAATACATACTGAGTTCCCGAGTTTCGTATTTTGAGAATAATGTCAAGGCATCGTTTTCAATTGTTTTGAATAATTAAAAAAAAAATTATTTTGACCTGTCAGTGCCCCTTTAAAGCCGACCCACATAGGACGTATTCTCAACATATTTACTGGCGTTTTAGCGGGCGGAATCACGGCATTTGGCGGTCGCTTTTTTCACAAAAGGGACGAGGGGAATGTATCCAAACCACACACGGCACCTTTCGTTGATGTCTCCTCGGCGTTTGGTGCAGTGTGACCCGACTCACGCTTTTCACGAAACGAGGCAGAATGTAGAGTGGCCACTATATTGTTGCTTTACTCAAGGGGACAGAAATAACTAAACGTTAATCGACCACGAAGGCCTAATTTGTTGATGCTTGTCTCAAAAGTGTTCCTTGCAACAGCTACGTTGCCAACGATTTCCAGCAGGAGGGCAGTTGCGATCTCTCCTCCAAACCCTTACTTTTGTTATCTTTTTCTCACTTGGCCCGCCACATAGATTGTTTTTTTCTTCTGTCTCAGTCATTCATCGCTCATTCGAAAGAGATGTAGCGATTCTGTACAGTTCGCCGATAAACCGTCGAGCGCGACCCGCGAGCGCCCGTTTCAGCGGCCAAGTCAAGCCAGCCAGCAGGCACCAGAGCTAGACGAGCCAATGCTCGAGCGAATTCCGTCTGTTGACTCGCGAGCTGATTGGCTGACATCACACCGTACGCCTCCAGATACGCCATGCTGAAATACGCCGGAGTGCCGAGATCTGTCTCGGTCGTATAGCCAAATATGCGCATATTTACGCCATCCTTGAGACGTCGATGAAGCGCTCGTCCCGACGCCCGCTATACGTTAGGGTTACATCCACCAAAACGCCAGTAAATACGTCGGAAATATGCTCTATGTGGTTCGGCCTTTAGGTAATGCAATGCTGTCTGATCGGCTGCAACGATTTTCCACCTACAATTCACCACCTACGCACTCTGTAGGTACCAACATCGCTTCTGAGTGAGACTTTCACCAATCTTATGTATCTCATTTCGTCAATATCTGACTCTTCATAGCTTAAGTTTGCCAGAGAATAGTGCAGAGCAGGATTTAGTTCTCTGAATTCTAACAGCCTACCCTACTTGGCCAGATCTAATGCAGACTATGTATAAAATAAGATAGCACTATTTTTTTCTACACAGTATGCAGAGGGTCAATCGTTGCAATTGACGAAAGAAGCCAAGCGAATGAACACACAAAGATAATATTTGGACTCAAAATACTGACCTGCACTGTGATGCAGCATCACATTGGTGTGCTCACAATCGCCCGGAATGCTGCATCTTCAAATACAAACGTGACCTTGTCGTTTGCTCGGCTTTCTCCGTGAAGTGCAGTGATCAGCTCACCACGTATAGTGCTCAAAAAGTAAAAAAGGTGCGCTTTGTAAATGAAAAAGTTTCATCAGAGTCAAGTGAATAAGGTACTTTTATGACTGGTTGCCCGGCGTCCAATGATATGCCTTGAATAGAATAATTTAAGGCAAGTACCCAAGGCGGCGAAGGTTTACGCGAGAATGAATTGACTTTAACCCTATATGGAGCTCAACTGGCGCTCTCAGGCGTCTGGTGGCCGAATCAAGGAGTATATGAAGGCTGACATTTGCGCAGTGCCTTCTTGCAGAGCAAACACTTCCATATAACTTATTTGATGTTTTCTTTTTGCCACCTTTTCTGTCATGCGGCAGGGGACTTGACCCAGCCTCTTCCCAGCGTTGTGGTGGCCGAGCACACCGACAAAGTGATCCAGGCACGCTGGCACCCCAGCGACTTCTCCTTCGTCAGCACCAGCGCCGACAAGACCGCCGTCCTCTGGGCTCTGCCCGTCAACTGACGATGCCGGGCACTGCGCACGACCAACCCTGTGATAACTCGCCTAACCCTCTTACACCTCCTGCCCTCTTCCCCACGCCAGGACAGTGCTTCCTTTTTTAGCCAGGGTGACACCACGTTCACCTGTTTCTGTTTGATCCCTCTGTTTCATACTAGACATGGCTTCATTGCCGTAGACTGTTATTTAATAGGAGTTAAGGATGATTATGTTGACAGACAGTGCAGCGCCGAAAGAACCAGACGCGGAGACAAATGGGGCAGTGCGTCTTCTTACGTCCTTGGTCGTCTGTTTGCATAGTTCTCTCCGTACAGTCTATTTAGCTTTGTCATCTGTCTTCGTTTTTTTTTTTAACTCTTAATGCATACAACTTATAGCCTAGAGCCTCCTTTTACCGAAGAAGATAGTCACGGTAGTCACTGGTATAGTACTTTGTGTGCTGATGTTGTTTTCTTTTATCTAACTCTTCTATTTGAGAAAAAAAGGCCCCTGTGCAATCGCATTGTTTTTGTGTTTTCTGTAGGCTCTGTTTAGCATTGATTCTTACCCGACGTCTTTTTTCTACTTAGGATTTTAATCTGATTTTATATTTTAGTTTTGAATTCTTTATTCTCTTTGATTTTATTGGCCACGAGAGCATCAGGGTTCTGAAGATCAAGCTTGTGCATTTACGAGGCAATCGGACGGATCTCGCTGTTCCAGGCTTTGTAGTTGTGTGCCGTGGTATACCTATGCAGGTGATGCGATTGTAATTGGATTGTGTTGTGACCAACCGTTGATACCTCCAACGACCAGGTCCTGCCCGCTGCCTGTTGTTGTGTATCTGAAAGCTTCGAGCGTTTGTTCCACAAAGGTGCCAAGAGGTGTCACTACAGCTGTTATGAGACGTCTCTTCATAACGCTGATGGGAGTCTCGCTATGTGTGTTTTGTTGCTTTAGAATTTTTTTTATAGTCACGTAGAGCACAAGGTTGAATCTCTTGTATCGGCGTAGGAGCATTTGCAATTGAAGATCGCTTTTGCATGCGGCGTTAAAAGCCTCGTCCTTATTTAATCATGTCATTAAGAGCTCTTAATAAAGGTCACAGCGTAAGCCAGGTCTTGAGCTGAAAGCAGGACAAATGTATTATACGTAAAACAAGGCATTTCCTGCTCAAGGAAAGGGACTCAGAAGTTTGACAGGTGCAAGTGTCAAAAGATTAATTTTTGCTGCACATCTGGCTGCAATGTTTGTTCACTGTACATAATGTTTTTATTTGCACATCACAGTAATTTAGTTGTATAAATATTTTGCATACCAACATGAAGCTTGTATGACATGCTGGTGTCACTTGTATAGCTTGTAATGAAGTCAGCATAATAAATTTGGTGTTCTCAAATTACATTGTGGACAGTTACAAACTGTGTTCCCCTGTCTGTAATAATAATAGTAATAATGTTTTGTGTATGTTTATACAGGAAGAAGTCTGTGTGATTGCGATATTTAGCCAGTGCAGTACAACCGCTAGCCTGGGGTCTTTAACATGCATCACGCAGTAGTGATACACGACCCCACACCGGTACGATGCTCATCCAGATTTAAATGGGTGGGGGTAGGGATCCCTGGGTTCTGTAACGCGAGCTTTCGCTCCACGTGCTCCGAGCTGGCGTGCGCTAGCCCACTCGGCCACCGACCCCTTTTGTCTATCCAAGCGGTGAATCATTTGGCTGGCTATTGTTATAATCAGTGACGGGGCAAAACACACAAGGTTGTTTGGTTTCAGACTGTTTCGGAAATTTCTATAACTTTAAGAACGAAAGCTTGCCAGTTTCGGCATTTCAGATTTTGACATGATGTCACAGCAGTGTTTGTCATCTTTCTAGAGTGGTAACAAAATTGCAAGATTGGAGCACAGACATTCAGTTTTAGGTCAATTGAGAGAGTGTCTTGTGAATCGTTACTCTAAAAAAGAAACATTTGTGTAATTTTGAAATGGCCACTTGCCAGTGGCGTCTGTGTATGCAATCCTGGCACCAGGTGTGATCGATTGCATTGTCTAGTATGAGAGTTAGTTGTTATCATATTCAACTGAGGCCATCTCTATGCATCCAAGCCTATGAAATTTAAAAACTCAGATATCTATGGCTATTTGTTTGTTCCTCTCCTACAGACTCGAACCTAGTTTATTTAATTGCCCATGTTTCATACAGCCTACACGAAAGATGATATGCACTGCATTTATTTGCTTAGAACACTCCTTGGTGCATCATTACATCCTTTCTTGTGGTGCTATTAATTTCTGCTTGCCATCATGCACTTGGGAGATAATAGCCCCGGAGCACATGACTAGGAGGCGCCGCAGTTGGGCTATAAGTCAGCGCCTCCACCGGCAAAGAAGCGCAACAATGGGCAGCCACCGGCGCGTCGTCTGCTTCTCCTGCCCCCTTCCTCGCTGCTAACTTCCAAACGCTGTGCTGGCTTGGTTGACTGCGTATGTCCTCTCATATATTGAAAATGTAGTGACTGGTTTGTCCAAGGTACAACTGAGCTGCTCTTTTGGTATTGTGGACAAAATGGTCCTGGAATATCCTGTATAATCAATTAAAGGCACTGGGACGCAGAAGGCACAAGTGCAAGAAGGTATCGGGTTGACTTGCATCTCGGTGTGATAATCATTGTGATTAGCATTCACTAGATCAGCTGTTCTCAAATGTGGGTCCGCAGACCCTTTGGGATCCGCGAAGGCGAATATGCACAGTACATTTACCTGTAAAATTAATGACCGGACAAGCGCCCCTCCTCCATTTTTTTGCAATTATCTCCAAGGTTTGAGTGGGCACTTGCCCGGTTTTTTATGGTATATCAGTTTTCGGGCGAGTTTTTTCATGTCTACGTCAATAAGAAAGGCTTCTTCACACTACCCCTTAGTTATAGTAATTTATTACACCATTATTATTTTAACCTATATTTTTCCTCTTTGCTCACCACAAACGGGGTCCTCCACCATCTCCCGCCGATCCACAAGGGGTCCTCGAAACATCGATGGTTGAGAACCACTGCACTAGATCATGTCTGCCCTTAGTTCTTTTATTTCTACATGTATACTGAATGTTTTATTTTGCGGCAACTTGGAAATGTGTGAGGTAAGATTAGTTTTGTTCACATTATTATTTTATTGTTGGTGAACATTTGCAAGAAGCTTGTTTTATTTTTAGTTTATTTTCTATCTGACTAATATATTTGCATGACAAACCTTTTCGGGATTGTTTACGATTCGGAGGGCATAAGTCACTGTGATATTTGGCTGGTTTAAAATATGTAAACACTGATTTGTATCGACAGGAGTAGAAGCTAATTAAAATTTATTGACTGCCAAGTTGGTGCATGCCAATGGTCATGTTGCAATGTGCCAACTTGGCAGTCAATAAATTAAAAACAGTGTTGCAAGAAAAATAAGATGGTGTGAAACCTGTTTCCCGCAGACGAGAAGTCAGTGGTGTATATAAAAAGCAAGTTATTAATGAAAAAACGGTTAAAGTGCAGGTGAGCTGGTGTACGTTAGACATGATGCAGTGTCCGAACTTTGTTCGCGCTTTCTTCTTTTTTTTTTTTTTTTAATTCGCAAACTTAATTAGAGCCACGGGCTTCGATGGCGACAGTCCCCCGGTCATCGAGACACCATTACTCGGTGATAGGGTGCACGAATAACGACAGAAAGCGTCGAAAACTTTCGGAGGACTAGCTTGCATGGAATCCGGCAAGGCGAGTGCAGCTGCAATGCTTTTAAGCTCCATCGCTTTCCGCGTGACCCCGGTCTCCGGCGGCATGCAGTGGGTCGCGGCAGTGAGTCGGAGAGACTTCTCCCGCATGTCAAGCTCTCAAGTGCTCGCAACATTACGCGAATGAAAAGCGCACTGAGATCAACACTATGCCGTCGTTCAACATGGGCTACGATCGCAAAGTTGGTACAAGTTTTCTCGTGATAATTGCCGTTTCAACTTGTAACTTTTTGTTACTGGATTTTTTTTTTTTTTTTAATATTGATATTTGGAAGTGGTGACACTGACTCGATTTATCATCTGCAACACTTAGTTGAAGGCTCATTTCCGCCGCCGGGTGTGGCTGGAAATTCTCGAAAATTTAGTTCTATCGGGTTTTTTTATTCGCGATCTCCTGCGCGATACCAGAGAGCCGTGGACCTATGTTGACCGTCACAATGCCGACTAGGTTTTTCTTATTTTCAAAATTAGTGCATAATGATAGCTGGAAAGAAACCTACGATTTCTGTCGCTGAAAGATGAAACATGCTCATGCCTCGATTTCGAATCGCTGAATCATTCGTTGACTCGCTCCTGGAATAGGGCCATCTCGACTTTGCTGTTTTCAGTTCTTGACAGAAGACACACTCGTCGGCATAGGATTCTCAAATAAAACGTTTATAAATACCGAAGCTTGAGCTTGTTTCGACGTTTATAAACATCGATGGATGAGCATGCTTCAGTTCTCAGCAACAGAAATTTAAGGTTTCTTTCCAGTCGCATTATGTACTAATTTTGAAAATCAGAATCTAGTCGCGTTGTGACGGTCAACATAGGTTCACGGCTCTAGTATCGCGCAGGAGATCGCGATTCAGGAAAACGAATATAACTAACTTTCAACCATTTCCAGCCAAACTCGGCAGCGGAAATGCGCCTTTAACTGAGTGTTGTAGATAAATCGAGTCAGTGTCATCACTTCAAAATATCAATATTAAAATAAATTCAGTTACAAAAAGTTACAAGCTGAATCAGCAATTATCACCAGAAAACTTACACGCACCTTGCGAGCGTACTCCCTGTTCATCGACGGTACAGCGTTAAGTGCGGTGCGCGCTCCATTCATAAAATGTTCCGAGCATACTCGAGATGATGGCGTAGGGGAAAAGTCATTTCGGTTTAACGAAGCAAGCCACTGCCGCCGGAAATCGGGGTCATTGCAGCCGCACTCGCCTCGCCGGATTCCGTGCAAGCTACATAGGTCCTCGGACAGCTTTCTGTCGTTATTCGCGCACCCTATCACCGAGCAATGGTGTCCCGACGACCGGGGGACTGTCGCCATCCAAGCCCGTGGCTCTAATTAAGTCTAGGAGTCTAAAACAGAGAAGAAAGCGTGAACTAAGTTCAGGCACCGCAGACACCTAACACCGGCGCAGCCTCTCATCCGGGACTTTCACTCTTTTTAACGACCCAGCGAGGGGGAAAGCGCCAATAGCACTTTCCCCTTTTCTCTCTAGCCTTTTTTCAGTAAAACGATCTGTAGTTACCCGTAATCGATGGTGTCCACGTGCCGCCATAATTCAAATTTGGCGCGCAGGAACATGCGCCATCTCGCGGATATAAGACTACAGCTTCGGTTTCGATTTCGTATTTTACTTTCTACCAAGCTGGTGAGATATCAGAAATAAATCTCTGCGCGACGGTGGCACTTGTAAAGCATGGCGTCCTGCTGACATTGAGAACCGCTACAAAGATAGCCTCTATCGCAGGATTTAACTTCTTTTGCTGCTTGCTATTTACAGCGGTAGCTTTTAGTGCCCCTTTCCGGCAAAAAATGCTCATGTATGAACACAAGACTCCTCTAAGCAAAGGCATTGCTCTCCCTCTCCCCGTCGTTCCCCGCGTACGGCAAGGCTCTCTACAGAACAGCTCGCGTACGTAATTTCGCTTCTCCCAACGCGGGAGCAGTGTCTATGCTAGATCGCAAACTCAACGATGAAGTTAACTCAATCGGTCGCTGATTGGCTGCCCTTTTGGTCACGTGATGTGACGTTGCGATTGAGTTTTTCCCTACGGATTCCGATGAAGTTCGAGCTATGCTGTTGAAATAATGAAGTTCGCGGTGACGTCAAAATGTCGTCACGATTGAGTTTGGCGATGGAGATAACTTTGTAGTAGTCGGGCAGCAAAAGTTGCCAAAGTCAATGAAGATGGCGACATTCAAGCTCGCGGACGGGGCGGACCAAAGCGGACTATCGCTACGTTTTTATGTGTTCGCCGTTCAAGGTTCGTCAGGGACGTAATCGGGGAATACTGCCCGACACTCGCTGGTGCTGACATTTGCCGTGGAAGCTTCGGCGGCGTCGCGAGGGGCCCCATATGGTGACCGCCGAGCAGCAAGTGCTCTCTTTGAGCGTTGCTCGCGGAACATTTTGCTGCGACGAAGACGTCACCGTGCGTCGGTGTGCTGCGAGTCGTATTCTTTGGATGCTACAGAGGCGATAATCGATAACCCGGGGCTGAAGGTGGGTGGGCTTCGCGCGCCAAGTGAAGACGGAAAGACGACGACCAAGAAGTTCAGCGATGCGAATTCAGCGGTGTTGTCGGTAAGTACTCAATACACATTTTCTCAATGCGCTTGCACGAGAG